GTGAGCGGGTGACCGAGCTACCACTGCTGTCCGGCGCAGAAAGCCCGAGAGGTGCGCAGGTAACCGAGCTGTTACTACTGTCCAGTGTACAAAGTCCGTTAGGTGAGCGAGTGACCGAGCAACCACTACTGTCCGGCGCAGAAAGCCCGGGAGGTGAGCAGGTAACCGAGCTGTCACTACTGTCCAGTGTACAAAGCCCGTTAGGTGAGCGAGTGACCGAGCAACCACTACTGTCCGGCGCAGAAAGCCCCACCAGTCCACCACTTCAGTCCAGTTCACAGAGCCAAAAGATACGAATAAAAACGATTAAAGTAAAAATTCAAACAGACCTGTCGTAAACCTTAAGAAACGCGGAAGCGAAGCCGAGATGAAACGAGTGACCGAGCTACCACTACTGTCCGTGCACAGAGCCCGGGAGGTGATCCGAGTGACCGAGCTGTCACTACTGTCAGTGTACAAAGTCCGTTAGTTGAGCGTGTGATCGAGCTAACACTGCTGTCCAGTGTATAAAGCCCGTTAGGTGAGCGGGTGGCCGAGCTACCACTGCTGTCCGGCGCAGAAAGCCCGAGAGGTGAGCAGGTGACCGAGCTATCAGTGGCGGCTGTCACTACTGTCCAGTGTACAAAGTCCGTTAGGTGAGCGGGTGACCGAGCTACTACTGTTGCCCGGCGCAGAAAGTCCGGGTGGTGAGTGGGTGACCGAGCTGTCATTATTGTACAGTGTACATGAGTGACCGAGCTACCACTACTGTCCGGCAAACGGAACCGGTTAGCTAAGCAAGTAATCGAGCCACCACTACTGACCGTACATACACCACTGGGCACACACGAACTTCCAGCGAAAAGAGCCAGTGAAGTGATGAGTTACCGAACTAGTGATCCAGCGCACTATCACTGTTTCGAATTTCACACTTTATAGACTGATATTTCGGCTTTCTTTTCGAGTAGGGGATATCGTAAAATTATCTGTATGTACAGCGAAAAGGAATGCTTTCAAGGTTGAGAGAATCATGAACTGATTTTCATAGAAAATTCGTGTTTGCCCTATTGCATGTACCGATCATGTTTCGACGAATAGACATGTTAATCTAATAAATATTCATTCAAATTCAAATAAATGGCCATGGACCACAAGAAACGCGGAGGCGAAGCCGAGGCTGTTTCTTGTACAACTGTATTACCATGCAATCAAAACAATAATTATGGTCAAAGCTATGCGCAGGAGTTTCCATTTTTAAAGAAATTTTGTACGTCAAGGATCTGCACTAAAACTGTTGAAAAATGTTGTACAAATCAAACAATATTATGATTCAGGGCGTGATTTATTTATTTTATATAATGATTCAGGGCGTGTGGGAAGTATATTACAAGTGGAACAAGTTGACTACAAGTACGTATGGTGAAGCGTTTTGAGTACGAGTTTGTTTGATTTGTACAGTATTTTTCAACAGTTTTAGTGCAGATCCTTGACGTACAAAATTTTTTTAAAAATGGAAACTCCTGCGCATAGCTTTGACCATTAAGTAAACCCAAAAACTGGCGACAAGCATGCAGTTTTATTAAACGTAAACTGAAAGCAGGTTTGTTATATTACGGCAATTATGGGCACGTTCTTGATGTAAGTAACCTTTCGCTGGGTTTGAAGGGCTGGCTGGCAACAAAATCTGTGTCAGATACTGCATCACCATATTGGCAGATTCCATAAACTTCGGGCAGCTTAAAACATTCACAAAATAATTCACATGCTTTTAAGGGTTCAAATGTGTTGGGTCATGGTACCAAATTTGTGTACATGTGCGAAAACGTTCACTTTTGCGCACTCCCAAAGCCGTTTTTGCATTGTTTTGTAGCATTTATAGCAAAATGATTTGCATACACTGGCGTGAAAACCGTTTGTGCGTGCACCGTCCGGTTGGAGAGTTATCGGCACAATAAAATTCCAAAACGTTAAACGCACAGAGGTGTACCAAAAGTCTTGTAGTACTCCGAACTCCGAAGTATAAACGCTCCTCTTCAAATTTTGCACAAGCCTTCCACATGCCACGACGAGCTGCATTATTGCCACCAGGCTATGGGCAGTTAACCTATAATTATTGCCAAGATGGAAATCGTTATTCAAAAATCATACAAGAGTAAGAACTGCGATCCGGCGGTCGTTTGGTGCCAGGGGTACATTCTCCATAGACGCAGTCACGCAGTAGTAGCAGAACAAAACGGAAGTTCCCGTAAAACTTTGTTATAATTTGGCTTAGGATTCAGCTCCATTTTCTTCACCGGTGGATTACGTACGGACCTACGGTAGCTTCATCATTAAGCCAGGCACCGTGTTATGATGCCACATGGTGCAATCAGCTGCACAACAGTACTGTACTGTAATTTTTTAGCAACTACGAGTATTATTCAAATTGAAACCTATACAACATGATACGGATCTTCTTTCGGCCATAGCTAACCTTAATGATAACCGCGCAAGCGCGGTCCGTTTTTGAAACAGAACAATCGGCGGACTGTGGTGAATCCCCAGCTCGAAAGAGGGAATAATGCAAATAAATTAATAAAGAATGCAAGAAAGTTGAAACGATGACTTCAGCATCCACCTGGTTAAGTACCAGCGGGATGCAAATATTTGATAGGCAATGAATATATATTCCCAAACTCCCAATCAGAGTATTTCGAAAGCAGCCGTTTTCAATATGCGTGTACAGAGCGGAAATGGCGATTATGATAATAACAACGTACTGAAAGTAGGACATACATATTTGCGTGCCGACTGAGCCTGGTGAACAATATTAAAATGACCTGATATATCCTCGATGCAAAACATTGAATTTTGATGTTTCTAATCCTAAACGAGCAAAAATTAATGTTATCCAGCCTTCAAAAGCGCTTTGCAAACAGTTTATATACTGTTTTATAAAAAAATTGTGGTAGAGTTCGGCAGCAAAAATGGTGCGACATTGGCCTTTGGGTTTGTTTGGTAGATAACCAAAATGTAGGTGACGAGAATTCCAAACATCTGCAAACAATAAAATTATTACGAATTCGTTGTGGCATTTTGTATACGGCTTACGGTACCGAGATGACATGTTATGGCATGTAACCATCTGGTTGCACCGCATTTACAGTGACTGATTGTCAAAGCAGCGCAAAGGAGTCCTTACCGACAAAATGAAATCAACATTAAAGGTGAAGATATTCCCGGCCGTGAACACGACAGAACAGTCTCGCAGACGTCGCAGGGTCTTATTGAACTGCATTTCCAGTTCATGGTGATTGCTGTCAAACTCCTCCGCGATGATGTTGAGAGTTGGCACTATCGAGTGCGCCTAAGGAAAAAAGAACGGTCAATTTGAAATGACCGAACGAAAGACATTTGGCAAGCCCTGGCGCATCTTTCTCCCGTGGTTTCAGTATACCTGTCTGTGAACATAAGCCGCTGCCAGCGTCCTCTGCAGCAGTAAGCACATATTAAACAGTGCGCTGGCGGAGCAATATGCCAGATTACTTCCGTTATTGGTAAACATGAACCCAATTTTGGACGGAGTTACACCGATGAGTATCCCAACCAGGAGCACCACTCCAGCAATTTCTAGCACCAAAGCGACCAGATTGGATGGGGCGTACACGATATCCAGCCGCCAAACGATCTTTGACAACGTCAGGTGTTCCTGACGGCAATTTCTAATTCGCGCCAAGAAGTCTTTATAGTTGATCTTCTTGATTTTGAATGCTCGGTAGTGCGCCGTGCATTGGCGTTTGATTTGCTTGAAGGCTGATCCTAAGGTCATCGAAATGATAGCAAACGACAGCGAGAATGCCAGAGCCACGTAAGTCAATACGGTTTCCAAGAACTGATGCAGACAGATACCGTATAGTGACGGAAATTCCACACCAAAAATGATTTCATTTCGTCCTCGAGCATCCCGCAAACGGAGTACCGCAATGTAGAACCACGCAACCAGAAACACAATGCCACTAACAATATACCCGACTGCGTAATTTTTTATCGTGTGCGCCACGAACGGCACATCCTTTACATGCCGGTGCAGTTGTTCCAGGATACCCGGCAGTGGCTTACTGTGGAACGCCATCATGCTGCCGTAAACTGTGACCAGTAAATAGTATATAAGGAACAAACCAGCAACAAGAGTCAATGGGATTGTCGGTTCGTTCGTGTTAATTAAAGTATGAGTATACGTCAAAAGTCCGGTAATTAGGGTACATATTCCCAGCATGGTTATCAACACTCGAGCGATTATGGAGTATGACAGCACTTTTGTTTTGGTTTCCGTTTGCTGCCAAGGACACATTCCCATCACCCGCAAAAATAAGAAAACAAACTCCAAATATCTGTCGAACACATTATCCATTTTCTGGTTCTATAAATGTTATGCCGTCTTAGCGGGCGGCGAATGGTTCATCTGTAACTTGTAAGTAACGCTGCGAGTAAAGTCTCTGCCTTAATATTCGGTGAGCACTCGTATGAGAAGAAACTTCGGTCTTTTACACATGGAAAGAATCGTTTAAAGAATACGTTTTCGATTGCGCTAGCGTTGTCGATGTTGAGGTTATGCCGTAATTTACCATCAGAATCATTTCATTTGGAACAAGGATCGATCCGAGAATTGTGCTGAAGCAACACACTGGGGAACTGGCACTGGTGTTCATATTAGCTTCTGACGCAATCAGCTACAACGATGCTAATCAGCACCCGGATACAGCCAAAACTGCAATCACATTTAGTAGTAAGTACAAGCTGGACTGCTGGAATACTTCATGCTGTAAAAAACTGAATTACTGGGAATTTTGCACTCGGACGCCTAAAAGGCGGAGGGGCCGCGCTGGAAAGCCGTCCGCCACTGATTATCGAACAACAGGCGCATGGAGCGTGAATCCGGCCAATAGCCGACGCACTTTTAAGAGCCTTGATTACCACAGTGTACATACTGTAACTGCCAGCAGCTAACAGTCGTTCGCATTTTCATTCGTGTTTATGTTGGCTGCGGAGCCTGCGGTAAGCAAAGGTGTTTGCCGTCGAGCTTTTTTTTTAAATTTTGAACTCGCGTTTGCATTTAATTTGTTCGCTTTTGAAACTGTTTGTTTTGATCATTAAATATTTTAACAAGAAACAGCTATGGACTCCTCGTCTTTTATGTCGTGTTGCTCTTCAAATGAGGACTTTATGGAGAAGTTGTACTACTCTGCATCGGATGACGATTCTTTCCAGTCTGCACTGCACGTGTCGGATGAGGGATCATTCCATTCTGCAATGGATACCAGTGACGTTTCGATGGGAGACCGATCGAAATTATCGTGGAATGGCGACAAAGAAGGATCGTCGTCGTACAGTGATGAAGAAGCGCGCCACACGGACGAGTCGAATTCCCTGGATCCGTCGGAAGAGTCCTCCAGTTTCGACATGGCGGATAGTGATGCAGCATCCATGCAGTTGTCCATGCCGTCGTTCACTGTTTCCTTGGAGGACAGCCATTTTAGTGTAGAGTGCACGAACGAAGAGAATGCCAGCGGCGAACGTACCTTGGACAAGAGTTTCTTCGATTTCGAGTACCATGCTGCAAGACCGTCGCACGGTGACTCTACAGATGGCGCTGCATCGTTCCACCTCAACGCAGTTCAGGGAGAAGGGATGGAAGCCAAGGATGACGTGTCGGTCAGATCCGCTTTGATGAGCGCGAGCGGAACGGGGTCGTTGACCTGTGATGTGGCGGCCATGGTCATGGCGGCCGCTATGGCGGAACCTCTACCATCGGAAGAAGCAGGCGTTGCGATTTGTGATAAACCCCATACTGCTCCTCGGACGCCTGTAGAGACACGGAGCCGTCGAACCAGGAAGGCCAGCAGTGGCGCCCTTGAAGCCGGAACGTCCGCGGCAAAACTTGCACCGCCGCGTAAGCAGCGCGCTCATCGGGTTACGGATAAAGCGTCGGGACAAAGTTTCCAAGAAGGTCGGCGCTTTCCGTACTTTTCCTCTATGTTGGAATCGTTCTTCTTCTGAGACGGGGGGACTAATCTGGCATAAATACTTTTAGGGCAAATCGTGCATTTCCCAGCGAAGCCGACGAAAGGCCATCCGCCGTACTATTATACCGGCCAAATCGTCCAGCAAATACTGGACAAGAACGGTGCTTTGGGTTACATCGTCCGATATGCGTATTTCACTTCGCTGAAGATGGACAATTGGTAACAATTTTCTAACTGCGTTCTCTGTGTGCAGTGCTTGCGTGGTGCGCACACATGGAAGACTTACACAGGAACAGTTGTCCTGGTACTGAGTTGTTCTGTAATTGTAGGCGCTTTTACAAAAACACCAAACCCGACTTCATTTGTGCGAGTGCCTTAATTGCGGATGGGATCGATGCGCGCATGTTTGTGCAGCGCACTAACCAGCGCTACCGCACCGCGGTGAAGCGAATGGCTTGTCGAAAGAATGCGGATGGACGCCGCACAGGTGATATAGCGAAGCGAGTGTAAATATTCCAGCCGATGTTACGGTATTTCTTGTTACATGTAATGATTTTGCTTTCATGTTATAAAGCCGCCGTTACAAATTACAAAATTGATGCTTTTATTTTGTTCTTGATTATTTGCGAGATTTTTCGTTGATTTATTGCAGTACTTCGTATCTCGATTGATTAGCTTACCGCTTTCTTTACGAATGTATTATTATGCGGTTTTGTTTTAATTCCGTCGTTTGTACGGAGTTTTAGATGGTTTATGTACCTACGCACTGCAGAATGTGTAGCTCTGTTTCTTTCTGCGCCTGCAGTTGCGCATCTGCTTGAAAGTCTGGCATTATCAGGAAAGGGTAGAACGGTTCTTGTTGTCCAGCAGCTGCTCTGCTTGACGATAGTATTGTTGCGAATGGATAAAATGTGTAATGGATTGCGTGTTGTACAAGCTCATTTAACATCTACAGTACTGTACCGAAGTTGCACAAGTCAGTTCATTTGAAAATTGTAGTTTGACACGGTAGAGTTCACTGGATACTGTTTTTAACAAGGGGCCTGGAAGCCAAGTACACAAATTCGAATAGGACTGAGCCACGCAACCTCTAGTTGGTTGGTCCCGAGAGGTTTGTGAAAGTTTGTCACGGGAACCAAGAAACATATTATGCAGATACCACGAACACATGCTGCCGACCGACTTCAAGGCTGCCGACCGACCGACCGACCGCTGCAGTGGTCACCGACTTCAATCTAAGACTATGAAGGTCTCAATCTGCAGCGCGTGTGTCTCGGAATTTTAGCGGTTTCTGTGTTGTTTAATACCTTGTACGAGTGCAATTATAAAAGATGGAAAGGGATGGCAGTGATTGGACAAAGCCATCCAGTTTCAGTGTTTTCAGACGTTATGGAAACACTCTTCAAAATTTCAAATTGTAGCAGATCAATCGTGAATCCGTGATCATTGGGATCTTGTCAGATTTTAACTGATTTTGTGAAATAAGTATACCACCGCTTTACGAAAATCGGGCGCTGGAGTTTAACAGCACAGGTGTATGGCGACCGTCCTTCGGGTTTGTTTCATAAATAAACAAAATATATGTGACGAGGATTCCGAACATCTAAAGAACCAAACCTTCAGTTATAACTACTGTAAGTTTTTAACATTGGACATCTTTAAATTATACGATTGTTGCAGCTCATAAGAACGCTGCAATGACACGTTAAGAACAGATTTTGCGCATCTTCCTTACCGACACAATAAACTCCACATTCATCGTGAAGATATTCCACGCCGTAAACACTACCGGACAGTCCCGTAATCGACGTAACGTTCCGCGAATCTGCATCTCCAGTGCAACATCGCATCGGTCCGTCTCCTCCAAAATCGTATTCAAAATGACCGTAACTGAATGCGCCTGGGAAAGAAACAAAATTAATACGTAACTGACTTGTGAATGCGCCCGCAAATATTAGTTAAGCATTAATCCCTTTCAAAGCATATTAAGTATTCTGTAAAGCCAACCATAATAATTTTGACTTTTAAGCATTAAGGCTTTTTGAGCGACAGCATTTAACAAAATTATTATTTATTGGTTACCTTTATGTGAACATATGCTGCCGATACGGTCCGGAACAGCAGCCACAACAAATTACAATACGCACAAAAACAGTACATAACTCGATCCATGGCACTGTCCGTAAAGATGTATCCAACCTTGGATGGCGCAGCAAGAATTAAAGTGCCAATTAGCAAAACCGCACCAAGAATCTCTATGGCCAAACTAATAAGATTGGCCGGTGCGTATACGGCATCCAGCTGGCGCACAATTTCTGATAAGGTCAAGTGATGCTGACGGTATTTCTTAATGCCGGTCACAAATTCCTTGTAGTCAATCTTCTCGGCTTTGTATGCTGCGTAATGGTCCGTGCAATGACTTTCAACCTGGCGAAAAGCCAATCCTAAGGTCATGGCCAAAATAGTGAACGATAACGAAAAGCCGAACGCTGCAAACGCCGGAAGGGACAATGCTACCGCCTGGAGATACGCGCCGTGAACGGTCCAAAATTCATAACCGAAAACTATCATTTTTTCATGGAAAATGCTGTCCACACGCAACTTCCAGAGATACGAATAAACTCCAGTATTGAGGACCACCAGGACAGAAAAACCCGCTAGAAAACGTTTGACCGGGTACAGCGGTATTGACGCACTGCATACATATGTTGACATTTGTGCCATAATTGCGGGCAACTGCTTTGTATGGAATGCCATTAGGAATCCATAAATTATGCAGCCTAATTCGTATTCAATGAATAATCCGGCGACGATGATAGTGTGAATTGTCGGTCCTGTGGATGTCATTATCGCGTCATATAATGTTAAAAGATCGGCGACTGCGCCGCAGATTGTGATTAGTGAGATAACAATTCTCGTGCCGACGGCGTACGATACGGTTGTCGTGCCGGTTTCAAATAACTGCCACGGGCATAAACCGAACCACCGCAGAACCAGTAAAATAGTTTGAGAGCATTGGTCAAACCAGCCGAACGTATCTGGAACGGATTTCGTCTTGGTGTTCGCCATCTTAACTAGGAAAGGACGATATCGACTGTGCTGTTCGCCTTGGGTGCAATACTTCATGGTTGGACAAATTACTGGGCCATATGAAAATTTAGGTGAGCTTTTCCTAAATACAACACTCCGGTATATCATGATCACACCGCTTTCATTCATATTTGGAGCTACAGAGTTCGTGTAAGTCATAGCTCCTGAGGGATGTAGATCGTACTCAAACATGGGAAGCGTAAAGCAAACATTGCGCAGCAATTTTAATTCCACGGTGGCTTACACAAAACATCCCACAGGAAAGGGCACGGCTAGCAGCAATAAGGAGAATCGACAATTTGGCGGAATTATAAAAAACCACGTGGAAGGAAGCGGAATCTACAGTTTTGAATTTGAACATATTTTTTATTGCTCAGAGTTCCACTGTAGAACCAAAAAATTTATAGAATTTATGCAAATTTAGAACGCCATTGCACAAAAAATTAAAGCAGAACATAATTCTTTATTACTTATTGTACGAGTAACGAATAACGAGGCGCATATGTGAATCAACATATGAAAGGCATCTGCTCAAGAGGCGTCAAGCTGATGAAAACATGCGCTTCCAACCATAGAAGTATTAAAATTATGGCAGTTCCATAAATCCTTCATAATTACATCTATTCACGTTGTAGTGCACTGTCAGACCGAAGACAGACTGGTACTAAATTTCCTTTGCGTTGACTGTCCAAGTCCGCGGATACTACCGGCAGAAAGGTTACAGTTGCAGCTTGCCATGTGTACTTGTAAACACCCCCATCTACTTTGTATAGCAAAATCTTTGGGGGGTTTTGGTGATGACCATTCTGTTCAAGCTATCCACTGACTTATTTCAAAACCGTGGTGATTTGAGATTTCAATGGCATGTTTTTGGTTACTTTAACTGTATACGTATCACGGTATCAGTCACGGATTCTTCTAAGCAGTGGCACTATTCACTCCATTGATCTTACGGACCTGAGGCTCAGGAATTAATGCTTGCTTTTTGTCCGGTTGTTCGCACCTAGAGTAGTAATTACCGGTACAAATGTTATTATTGTGGCATTAAATGGCGTCGATAAAATGTGTGAAGGTTGCCGATTTTGCCGATTGTGTTATGCAGTACTCTTCTGTTTTTATTAGCAAGTGGTTTACTGGATGAAATTCGACAAACGGCTTTAGTTGTAACACACAACAATCATTTTCAGTTCCCTGTGTAAAATTACAGAAACAATGCAGACTTGCTCATTTCGACATCGGAGCGTGCCATGTACCTGGTACGAAAACATGCTCTACATAGTGTCAAAATAACAGCTTCCTTTCAAAATCAACGGCTGCGATACATAATTTCATTACACTTTTGGCAACTGCCAATAACCCGTGTGAGTTGATTGTGTCTAGAATTCCGAAAGAAAAGAACGCAATGTATTTGTTCCAATGAAATTCCGGCATGGCCGTAAACACTGCATCTATCGTCAGTTTACTCGCCTCTCAAGTTCGCTGAAAATTTCAAAGAAAGAATCACTCTTGCAGTACAACTCCAAAAATCGAAAACCATTCAGTCCTTTGGACGACAACCAATACTGTAATATTCATCAACACAGAACCAAAAAGGCATCAAAAACAAAGCACCATCACCTGTAAAGAGCTAATATGATTCCTCGTGCTTATTCCTGCATTCTTGAGGCGTGTTCCACAATTAAGGGAAGCAGACTAGCATCCGCCTGCATAACCTCTTGAAATGCTTCGGTATGCAGGACGTGCTCCATCTTTCCCGGCAGCACATCCAACACGGCAGTCTTCAGCACATCCAACCCGCGCTGTTTAGCTAGGACGAGATAATGCGCCGCCTTCTCCAGAGGAATATCACCCGCCAGGATCTGCTCGCACACCGAACGCGGATCCAGCAGTTCGTACTTCTCCGCCATAATCAATACCTTCTCCGCATTGTCCGCGCTAATCTTGCCGAATTTACATCCCTACACATAGTCCAACAGAACTCCCACACTTTCTCCATCAACATCCACCAGATCACAGCAGGACTTTTGTTTTTCTTTGCAGTTATGCTTCAGCATGGCAGCGAACACTGGAGACTGTGCAGTAAGAAAACTGCGACTAACCGAGAATTTCTGACCGTCACTTGAGCGTAGAACAAAGTCCGTTGATTGCGACGGTTGTTCCGACAACAGCAACTGGTTTTGGCGAGAAGCGAAATTCAGCAGCAATTTCCCATCAGATTCAAAGGGTTTGGCGATTATCACGTTCGGAGTGGGCTGCAATTTATGCTTCGCATACACGACAACATCCAAAATGAAAGTCAGGCAGTCGTCTCTCACTTCATCGTTTAGCTTCTGGTAGCTGACAGCCTTCGGAAAGCCATAACCAGCTAGGCTAGGAAGGGGAAATGTCTGGGTTGTTGTGATGTGGAAGTCTCGGAGGGGAAGATCCACTTTCTTTCCAGTATAAATCCTGCGTCAAGTCACAAACAAAAGGAACTGCAAAATATTAAAATGAAGTAAGTTAATATTACACTGATCGTACAGATATACGATACCACCTAATTACGGATTAAAACCGTACTGCAGCCAGTGCTCAGTGGCACTGTGGCAGTGTAGCTTTGTGGACACTGGACAGATAAGTACTGTACTGTATAACTTCGTTTGCTGTTCATTTAAAATGTATTGTATTTGTACAATACAAAATACTGCTTCACTGCGCAAGCATATGGTTTCTCGTATTAATAGTAACAGCTGATGCTTAAATTTTTAGTAGGTAATACATAAAAGGTATCAACATTTCTTTTTAATTGTAATAAAATTAATAATTTCCGTTGTTACGATTAATACAGTACCTACTTATTGACGGTTGATATCGTTCACCGCAAAATAATAATTTATTTTCTTTTTTCGCTGTTCATGTACTGTAATGCCTTTTGTAAAGTTGGGGAAGAAGAGAAGGGAGTTTACTTAAACCCTCGAATTCACTAATTAACCGTTTTTTGACTGAACACTTAAGGACTGACAATGTAACATTATTTAAATTAAGGTCAGTGCTATGCGCCCCGACAATCGGGGCGCAAAGCAAATCGGCTGTGCGCCCCGATCGGGGCGCGAAGTAAATTGGCTGTGCGCCCGGTCAGGACGCGAAGTAATTTGGCTTTGCGCCCCGAATTTTCGAATTTGCGCCCCGAATTTTGTACACCAAAAATTATCACGTAATACATGGTGCAATGGGTATTATAATGTTTCCGGAGAGACAGGTGACCTTGAAAGAACAGCCAAGTTTAATGAAGCCTTCAGAATTTTGTCGAAAGATCTTTCATCTGTTGTCGCAGCGCAAAATTCAGAAAGATACCAGTATATGCTGCAACAACTGCAGCGTGCCTTGGACCACCTTGATCAAGGGCATTTGTTCCGCGTATTACCGGTAGTTGAGACGGCGTCAGTTTCCTGTCAGACAGATTTAACTGGAAAAGTTGTCGATAATCCTGCGCACTTACTGGAAGAAAATGCAAAAAAAGAGACAGAAAAAAGTCCAAGAAGGAGTTTACCTGAATTTGAACTGTTTCGCGATGCCAGAAATAAACGCGGTCGACCACCGAAAAGCTGCTTAGGATTTTATGAAAATTCGCAAAAGCCGGAAACACCCGATGCGCCGCCCACACAGCCATACAAGAGTAAACCTAACGACGACGTCTAACATGCCCTCCTGTAATAACCCTCCACAGTTTGCCAGATGAACATCCAAAGCATACATCTGCTAAAAGGCGATGGAGCTCAGATGAAAATCCCGAGGAAGCGGGAGGAAGAAACCGTCTGGTGAAAAATATAGCAGGCAGATTTCCTATACACCAATATATCTGACATGCGTCGTTTCAGTTTCAACCATCGGACAATTCATCGACTCTAAAGTAGTTGCTGCTGTCTGGGCTTTGGCTAGAGCTGGCCTTCCATCAGTAAAGTCTGTTATCGGCTTCCTCAGCCCGCTGTGGGTGCAGAGGTGCCAGCCGGATTACGAGGTCATTACAACAGTAAGAGAAGATTACATGAATGGAAAAACTATCGTGCAACCTTTGTTTAACATCACGAATCATTTCGTGACGGCCAAAATCGATCCACAGACACGTGTCGTAACTCTCTATGACTCGCTGGGATGGAAACCCAGTCCGTGGGTTCTTCTGCAAATATGGACGTTGTGCGGCGATAAGGAAGACGTTAATACCGTGATGCCGCCGGTTCCGAAACAGTCGAGCGCGTCAAGTAACTGTGCCGTTTACTCGTGCGCGTTTGCGCTTGATATCATGCTGAAAGGAAATCCTGAAACATCGAATTATAAAGAGGAAACAGAATTCCGACAATGGCTGAAACAGATAATCGAAACTGAAATAATCTCAAAACCGTCAAAGAAACGTGGACGATTTACGCACGAAACCACCAAACCGGAAACACCGCAAATGACGCTTTCGGCTGAACAAGCTGCTAATTTGCGAGTTTCTTTGAACTGCCGAGATGAACGGTGTACCATTTTAGTACCTTATTAGAAGATTTCAGTAAATTGTGTAATTGGTATCTACCTGTATTTTGCAAACCCATTAAATTCGGGGCCTGGAAGGTTTTCGTTTCCACATAAAATTCGGGCGCACAGCCAAATTACTTCGCGTCCTGACCGGGCGCACAGCCAGTTTACTTCGCGCCCCGATCGGGGCGCACAGCCATTTCGTTAAATTAATAGTTAATCAGCATTTACTCACGTCAGCAAGATGTACGTACCAAGTTTTAAACTGGGCATCCACTGTGTGGTCACCGGTGTATGATTCGGAATCCTTACTAACATCAGTGAGAATCAAGTAGACGGAAACATATTTTGCTTCCGACCCAGCCACAGTTTCTTTATAGCACGTCTCCACGCACACTCGCCAGCGTCCCTCAAATCCGCTGTCCTCTTCCATGCCCGTCGAAACGATCCCGTCACTGTACAAAACTTCCGTTCGATTTTGGTAGAGCTTGAAATTATCAAGGGTCAACTTCAAAGTGAATTTGACAGTGTCTGGGGAAAGTCGATCGTGAACCACAATTTTCGATACAGAGGGATTCGCAGTCGATACAAGAAAATGAAATGCTTCGAATTCGTGAATCTCCGAGATTAGATCATTAGCAGCTGAGAGTTCGAGCAGTACGATAAGACTACACTATCCCGAAAGAATCTCTGGAAAGAGATAACGCGAAATATTTTAAAATTGCGAAACATGCAGTACAAAGTACTTGAAGGTAGTGATATTCAACACTCATTGCAGTCTTGTTCTGAAGGTAACAGAAAGTTTGCCAAAGCCCAAAAGCAAACACTAACAAAATGAGAGTTGTCTGTCGCACATCACTCGATCCTGTTGTTGTGCCAACCCCCATCGGGCATTGTTTACCGAATGCGGGTTCAAACCGTTAAATGCACGGTGTGCAAAGATCAGCCAGGTAAAACGGCAGTAGGTATATAGCTTTTTTTGTATAAAAAATAGCTTTTAAATGAAAATAGCTTTTGTGTGAAAATTAGCTTTTTTTTGTACTAATTAGATAAAATAATGTATTATAATGATTACATTAATAAAGCATACATGCACGAGTGCCGGAGTGAAGTGACGGATCTACAGAACTGTACACGTAACTGCCGTATAGAAGCGTAGCAAAGGAAGTGACGTCAGGCGCTACAACGACCAAGTCACAAAATCTTGGCTGACTTCGGCAGGCAGCATTTTTAACAGACCGATCAGAAGCGGAATTTGGCCAAACATATTTTATTGAAACATCACTGCCTTTTGGCTTGTTTTTAGACGTTTCAAATTTGTGATACTTTTTTTATCTGTTGTAGCTTATACTGTATACACTAGTGTTTTTAGCCCTTTTCCTTTTAGGCAATATTGGATATTGTGCCTGTTGGCTGTTGGTATCCAAATGTGACGCAAAACTATGGCTGAGAATCCGAATTTATGGCAAGATTGCGCAGAATGGCTGGTACAGTGCCAGGTGCTTCCACCGAATCATCGTGTCACGTGGCCGAACGCTCAACTCCTGGATCTCGCCCGAACACTCCAGGATGGAGCCATTTTATGCCAGTTACTACACATCCTGAAGCCTGGCTGTATCAATCTGAAAGATGCCAATTTGGCTCCAAAACTCTCGGAGGTAAATTATCCAAATTAATTAAGGCTGTTGCACACATTTCCCTGTAGTTTTGCGGAATTTGCACCGATGCTACAGGGTATGTCTGTATGGCGTTTTCTAATTTTGGAATTTTAATTTTTATCTTTGAGAAATTCTTGATTCCGGAATGTTTTAGTGAGATTTTGAAATGATTGAAAGTTTTGTTTCCATTCTAGTTCGCCTGCTTGAAAAATGCCCGTTTATTTTTGGATACCTGTCGAGCGCAGTTTGGAATGCGGCCTAATCAGCTGTTTGAGCCGACGATGTTGGCGGAATTGGGGAATTTTTTAGAGGTACGAATATTACGTTAATTTACGTGTACCATAAATTTGCATCCGTCTTTGAATTTTTATTTGCGTTCTTCTTCTTTGTCGTGGTCTGTGGTTTCCTGTGAAGCGTAGCTTTCTAGGCCAACAGACGCACTGCAAACGTTAAAATGCTAATTGTGCGCCCAGATTTACCAATGCTGTATGCTGGTTTGTTTACTATGAAGCGTGGAGAAAAGTTGCCAATCGATTAGATAGAAAGAAGGCTGGCATGAGTCATGCAGAAGATTGACTGTTTATTATTTCGATAATATCTGGTGTATCTTGTCGGTCGTTTGAGGCTTGGCCGCTTGATCAGCCGTGCCTTAAAAATTGTTACTTAAAACTTTCGTAACAGTTTTGCGGAGAAAGATTTTGTATCCTTTTTCGATGGTTTGTGGATGTAAAAATAATCGCAGTTTATTATCAGTAAAGTAAAATGATAATAATATTCTAGGTCAAAATAAAAAAGATCTTTCTAAACTAGCTTTTGGAAAATAAGTATTTTTTACTCGTTTCGTGCACAGAATTTTTGACTATCCAAAATGTCCTCGCCGAATCGTGAATGATGTTTGCTGAATCTGTAGTGTAGTGGCAGCTGATTTCCATAAATTCGAGGTTGAAATGCAGTGCTTCTGTCTTTGTTTGTTTTCAATGCAATGTTTCTGTCAAATATACATGCATGTGCAGCATGGAGCTGGAATCGTTAATTTTTATAATTAATAATTTTTATAGTCGGTACTTTTTATTCGTTTCTCTTGGAATAAAGTTTTTGTGCTTTCGAAAAAGTCTTAAGGGCGATCGTTGGGTTGCAGCACTGAAAAGCCAGACTTAAATTTTTTTCAAAATTTTTTATTTTATACCATGGATAAATCGAGGGAAAAATTCTGAAGTGCCCAATTCAAATAGTTGGAAAGCCCGAGTAAGCATTAAACCTGCATTTTCGATTTGTTATTCGCAGGTTTTGAAATGCCTTTCCGAATTGTCCCAGACGCAGCCAGTCCGTGCACGAGGCTTTCCCATGTTTCCTAGGAGTCCACCAGCCAAAGCAGTGGAATACTACAATGTGGATGCGTTTAAAAACCTGGAACAGCATTCTGTGTAATAATAATAATAAATTATTAATTTTGTTCTATTTTGACGCCTGCGGCTACGATTATCGTATTGTGACGTTTTATCTGACGCGTTGTTTATATTCTCAGACCGGATGAAGACGAAGACGCATTTAATTCGGCACTACAGACGACGCAGGATGAAGACCATGCCTATGAGGATTTATGCTATATCCGAGTTCCGCAGATTTTGGTAAGTGCGATTGCTGTTCGGTTTTTTCTTACCAAAACAACGGATTTCTATAGCCCGTAACGAAGTCTAAGCCGCTGACTTTTTCCTGATATGTTTAAATTATTTGTTTATTTATCTGCGCTATTTATAAATTAATACGTAAGTGTGTAATGAAAATTAATGTTTATTCGGTAATTTGTTGCGGCAGTTCTGTCGGAGAATGTCGTCTATCAAACCCTGTTCTCATTATTTTCTAAAGCAAAGCGCAAACAATTTATTTGCAGAACTATCGTAGTGTAAGGGATAGAATGTCAAGGACTGGTTTACAGTTGTACAATTGTGATAGCTAATAAGTAAAATTCTCTGGTATTGTAATGAAGTCTTAAAAACTTTACTTTTTAACTACATGTGTTCTGTATCTATTTATAATTATGATAATTTTTGCATTTTGTTTTTTTTATTTTTCCTGTTGCTTACTGCTCAGCTAAAAATCGAAGCATTAATGATTAATAGTGATTCTGATCGCACTAATGTTGACATCTGCAGACGGATAAATTTCCCGAGCCACGGGACAAACGCGATCACTGTCTGAAGGAGCTCTTTGATACCGAACGCAACTACGTGGAAGCGCTCAAGTTGATTATTGAACATTTTATGCGGCCCGTACAGGCCGTACTGAATTCCGACGAAGTGCTGACCATTTTTATCAACATTGAGGATTTGGCTGAACTGCACGAGGACTTCTTTAAAGATCTGCGTACGGCGTGTTTATCGCGGAATCACGCGGGCCGCATGCTGAAGGAATGTTTTGCCAAGTGGCGCATGAAGTTTACGATGTATGGGCGCTATTGTGCGTCGCTCATTAAAGCGCAGCAACGGCTGGACGAATTGATGGCCAAAAGTGAGGATGTGGCTTGCCGAATAAAGGTGCGTAGTTTTGGAGCGTCGTAAACAAACATATTTGCAGCTTGAAAAATTTATCGGTTTACTGATAGATTTGCAATATCCGGATTATTAATCATTTATTGTTTGTTGCTTTGTTTCACGGATCTCATGGCTACGAGTCTACAACCAAACACGACTGCATAAAACGGAAATTAAGAAGTAATCATTAAGGAGTAATTTGTGAATCATTATTTTTATTGAGACAGATCTTAAAGCTTATAAATTGTATGGAATTAAAACCATTGCAGTTGTTAATAATGAATAAGAAATGCAAGTGATGAAAAAGAAAATGATACATAAATTTTGTCCTACTGATAAGTTTTGGTCTATGTAATTTAAAATTTGAAATTTAATAGCCTGTAGTTTGTCCCATACTCTGTACATCGTTACAAACATTCGAACAGTATTACTTATGGACAAGTTAGGGTTAGACTGTTAGTGTACGTAGGTATCTTGCAGTTACTGTTAGCTATTCATATACAGAAAAGCATCGCGGTCTAACGTAAAATTATGTAGTTGTATAGCGCTTGGGTGATTTTCCGTGCGTCCTGCTCGCTGGAATATACAGTAGTAAATTTATACAGCCGCTTTACCCGCTTGCGAAGTAAGGTTTGGTTAAAACCATCCACAACTCTGAAAATTTTTTGTTTGGTTTTTCTAAATGCAGGAGTAATGTGTGCTACTTGGTATTCTTTTTGCGATAGAAATGCCAGAATGACACGAACGACGGGAAATTCCGCCTACGCGACTTGTTGAGTCTGCCGATGCAGCGCATTCTCAAGTACCATTTACTGTTGCGTGAGTTGAAGAAGCACAGCACCAACACGTCCCTGGAGGACCAAGGGGACCTGCAGGCGGCGCTGGATATCATGCTGGACGTGGCGGTGTATATTAACGAAGTCAAGCGCGACAACGAGATGATCGACTGGATCAAGGCCATTGAGAACAGTATTCAGGAGTTTGAAATGCCCGGGAAACAACACTTCACGGAATGGGGCCGTCTCTTGCAGGATGGGCAGGTCCGCTTCCGGCCCCACGAGACCACCACGCCCAAAACCAGGTAAATGCGTAGAATTATTTTCTGCGCTTTGCAGTTTTTGGCATCTTTTGGTTCTCAGATTGGAATATTTTTATTCTCCCAGATAGTCAAAAAAAAACAGAAGATAAGTTGCATTTGGTGTGTAATTAGTGGTGCTTTTGAAGTAGGTTTACAAACAATGGAACTTCTAATTGTTCATATGCCACTTAACTACGTTAAATGCATTATGCACGCAAGCGAATGTTGTGCAAATCGTCGTCATGGCTTTTTCTTTACCGAAATTGTTAATTACACAGTTTGATTTTCCACTAAAATTCCGTGCCGTTGGGGAGCCGTTTAAATAGAGAAAATTGGTACTAACTGTAATATGTTAAGAAAAGTGAAAGTTAATGCATTTAGAATTTTCTTATTCGGTTTTAAATATCTTGCGGTAGTGAATTTGCGGAATGTTTGTGCTGGGTTTGTTTGCTTTTGCATGTTTCAGGATTGTGAAAGGCGGAATAAGTTACATTTTTCATTATTGCAGGCATATTTTTGTGTTTGATCGGGTGATGCTGGTTGTTAAGCAAACAAAGGTAAGTTCTGGATTCTATTTTCATTTTCAAAATATGTTTTTTCATAAGAGTCTCTGCTTGTATAGAACGATCAGTACTGCTATAAGAGCGCTCTGAATCTAAGCGACTTCAACGTGGATGAAACCGTTCCCGCCAAGTCGCTTCGTGACAAGGTAAAGATTTTTAATATTGTCTTTACAATTTAGCCTGGTTAGCGCTGCGGTAATGAAGCGGAGAGATATTTGTTTGACATGCTGGGTTTGGCGTGTGCATAGTGGAGTCATCAGTGGCACATCTACAACCACAAGGACCAAGTAGGCTACACGATGGCCGTCAAGACGGAAGAGCTGCGCCGCAAATGGATCGACAATATCAAATTAGCACTGTGAGTCATCGCCAATTATTCCCTCTTTCCTTGCCGACATCGTGAATTCGTTTTACTGCTGAATCTATAGCGATCGTAGTGCGGCGGGTTTTATGAGCTCGTTTACGTGTCTGAGTTTTCAAAGTTCTTAATAGAACACTATTTGGTGAAACATTTTGATTTTATTTTTTTATGAGCCTTCACATGTTTCCGAATGTACTGCTGATAGCAGTTTGAGAATCCCACTTTGTTTTTATTGTGGCTTTCTCTGGGAATGGGTTTTTGTTCATCGGCATCCTGCTGTAATCGTGAGACGATGTGCGGCAGTGTCCTGTTGTTTGTGTAGGGAGAATCTGAATCCACCCGGCGCGCCGCCCGGTCCGCACTCCCATCTGGAGTACTGCACGTTTCCCGAGCCGGCACTGTGTGCGGTGTGTGGAAAATTGTTGCGCGGACAGTTCTTCCAGGGCTACCGATGTCCGCGGTGTCATGGCGGCGTGCATAAGGAGTGTATTCCCCAGTTCCGCGAATGCTTCCCCCACCGGCCCAGTGTCCCCGCACGCTCCTTATCCTCCGTGTCCATGAAGTTCAACGGCTCGCACCGGCATTCCTCAGGTTGGTCCGGCAACATTTTTTCTGTACCCACTTGTATGTATCGTCTGTGTATTTAACGGTAATTATTTGTCCAAATAGCCCGAAAATAATAAGTTTAACAGTATAAATTGAATTATAATGTTGCACGGACAGGTAACTGAATGTACCATTTTACTGATTTTAGTATTGCACGGAAAAAATAACTAAATGTGTCGTTTTCAGACTTTTGTCGAAATTTTTAAGACACTCGAGTTTCGCTTTACATCTAGTGGGGATTAGTATGCTGTGTGCACACTAGGACGGAAATTTTATTGTTGCGGTTTCCACTTCTGATTCGCGATAAGGGGTTATAATAACTATTCTCGTTTTTAATACAGAAGAAGGGATTTTTAGACGTATTGTATTGAGACTATGGACTTTGAAGCACAGTGCTGTACGAAATGTTTAGGAAATGTTTGTGTTTTTTTGTAAAGTAAGTAGTATTTTTCTGAATGGCGTTCTGCTTCAGAACTTGAACTACTGTATGTTTTGAAACTGTTGCGATTTGTGGAGGATCATTCACGTTGGTGTGAAGTGTGAACAGCATTTGCACGCGCGCGTCATGCTTGAGTATGCAAGCTGTCGTAGTGAAGTGACTGACCACAAAATTGCTTGAGGAAGATATTGCTCTTATAATAAAGAGTCTACTGGTGCTTTAGGATTTCTAATTTGCTGTCGAGCAGAGATAACGTTTACTTTTTTTTAATGCAGAATAAGTTAGTAAATATAATAAATATTTTGTTGGTGTATTGGTTCTCCAGTTGCAATATTTTCTTGTTATTTCTATTAATGAGTTTACAAGTTAATTTCGTTATATTTTTAGTTAACAATTTAGTCAGGGTTTGATTTTATTTTGCTAAGAAAGTTTGTTATTAAATTAGGAACACATTTCGTTAATTTTTTTGTGATTTCGCAAAAAAATTATACTCGAACACTAGAATCAAGTACTGTAGGACTAGCGTGTTTCTGATAAAAATTTTCTCCATAATTATAGGAGTGTCGAGTGCGATCGATAGTCCGCTATGCAGGGCTGTAGCGATATGGAGCTGGTCTACAGTAGTGCTCGATATTTTAGTCGGTCAAAAATTAAAACGCTGTGAAGTTTGAACCGAATGCACTTGCTTACTTGATTGAATTCGTATGAAAGGCGATTTTCCCCCATAATCATGTAAATAAATGACCGCTGTTGTTTGGTGTACGTTGAATACACCGTAACCGCCCTTTCGGCCTCCCGGTAACAAATGCTCCTCCGCTGAGCAAACTGGCTCGGAACCAGTTGCGTGCGGTGCGATAACACGAGCGGAGCCTCCGCACATGCTGCATTATTGTTCGCCGGAATTGCTTTATGATTCATACAAACGTGTAAACCGCTTTGATGGGCAATCGCTATTATTGAGAGCGCACTATCATGGAACAGCCGGTTGTGTTGTTTGCTCGACGTTCGACAGGGCTGATAAACCTCGGCACTGATTAGGCACAACCAGCAAGCGCTGCATTTCACCGGAAATTATTACCACACGAAATCCCTATTTTTTTCAGTTTTTATACTCCTGTGTTAACGCCTTCACTTGGATACATTTTTTTTTAGAAAATCTGATATTTTTTTGCACAGTAAGTGCGTGGTTGATCGGCAGTCGAAGATATATTTATTTTTCGATGAGATGCAAAAGGATTAATTATCCTGATGGGTGCAATCGAGTAGTCAATCGAGTAATCAGTGACAAAACTGTTAATATATCAGCGCCGCACACACACCTATCAATCCACATTTCCGTATTTCCTGATTTCCGGTTCACAAATTTACCTCCGGTGTTATAACGACATCTGGTGTTCTGATCCGACAGGCAGCACCCTTGTCCACAGCCCGACGGGTCGCTCACCGCGCGCCATGTCCATTAGCAGCTTCCCTTCCTCCCTGGACCGTCTAGGCGGCTCTTTGGACGGTGGAACTTCCGCGTCAACCCTCCGCCACTCCGATTCCCTCATGTCGCACGATGAGGAAGCGGAGAATGTCCCGGGAAGCGGGAATGGCGGCGGTCTGCAGGTGCCCAATGGGAATCGTCATAGCCTGCTGACACCGTCCCCCCACAGTCCCGGTTCGCCCTTCTCCCCGGCGGTCAACGGTCATTTCACATACAAGAACGAGGAGGATGAGCAACTGAGTTTGTATCCGTGGTTTGCCGGGTTTATGGATCGGGAGAAGGCGGAGGAGATATTACAGCGGTTCCCGAATGGAACGTTTTTATTGCGGATCAGTGTGAAGGGAGAGACGTACAAAGCCATCAGTGTCAAGTAAGTGGTGTTATCTGCTGGTCAAAGATTGCAGCGGGATCCCATAAAGTTTTTTAGGTGATTCTAAAGAATTGTGTTATGTCATAGTGGAGCGTTCAAGAATGAAATGTGTCCTTGGGATACTTTCGTTCTTTGTGAAGTTACGTTACTACAGATGTACTACCCTAGTGATAATGTACATACTTACTCGTACATATACGTTTTACATACAGATACGGTAGATTTAATGAGTTTCAAAATAATGATGACGATTTTAATGTAACTTTTACTGCTACAGTTAAAACACTGTAAAAGTGGATGCGATCTTGCGAATACTTTTTGATACGTAATTTATTGGTAAATGATAGCGGTGGGGTGGCAGCCGGTACCGTGTGATCAGCTACGTTAATCGAAAACGTAGTGGAGTGGTTGCATCAAACCCATATTATACCGCTGTATCTCCAGATGCAATGCTGTAGGCAGCGTTGCACTACAGTACGCTAAATTGTAAATTTTGTTTAAATTAGAACTTACGACTGATTTTAAAAATTTCATTTTTGGATTCAAATTTAACCCGTGCATTCAAATTCTGAATTCAGTTTTCTATCAGCGCAAGCTGAACTCGTTTTTACTAATTGAAACTTTTATACAGTAATATGATATTTTGTTAGCACACCCTCTAACTGTAAGAGAGATTCGTCGTAGATTATTTAAGTACAGATATGTACGTAAATAAGTACAATGGGCCGTATAACTACATTGCAGACTTGTTCCTGTTTCTTGGTGCAGCCGATTATTTATTCGTGTAATGATATTGTTGGTTCTTTATAATTTTGCCTGGCAGTAGATGGAGATCATGGAGTCATGAGTAGGTGTTTACAAGAAAATGAACATCTGCGGGTATTACAACAAGCACAGTAAATTTACGAAATGAAATAAAACCACCAATTTGTAGCGGCCGTGTTCTCTTTAGTAACTGCCAAAATGAAACGGTTAAAGAACTGTTATTGACAGATTCGAGAACAAAGTACGGCATATCCGCATCCTGAAGCATTCCGACAACGAGACGGTGTATTTGGCGCCGAACAAGTATTTCCGATCTGTGCTGGATCTCATCCTGTGGTACCAGAACAACAGCCTGGAAACCTCCTTTCAGGGAATGACGACTACCTTGAAAACGCCCTATAAGAGGGCGCTGCTGCCACAAATATCCGACAGTAAGTTACTGGCTAATAAAATGCTGTTAAAAGCGTTGTATAATTTAGATATTAACTTAATTTAATTGTTTATACTCTGAGCTAAACTGTAATAGTATATACACAACAGAAAATTTCGCACCGTTTTTACTGCAATCTGTAGTCGTTCGTCTGAGTATAATTATACTGCCGTGTAGTGAATGCAGTCCCTGAGACGGCTTGGTTTGTACAGGTGACCCATGGCTGTCAGATACTTCTGACTTTTAACGGCAATTCAGTGAAATTCCATTTATTTTAATAACAATTTTTTTGAAGGTGGTAGTCTGTTTTTTATTGCAGATCATGTGACAAGCGTTTAAATTATGCTCGTGTTGCAGATGGTACGGCGGAACCGGTGCTGGCGCGTGCCATTGTCCGCTACGGGTTTTCCGCGACATCACCCAACATGCTGACCATCAACGTGGGTGATGAAGTGGAGGTTATCGGGAAAAAGGGTGAGCAGCGTGGCTGGTGGAAGGGGCGCTGTAAGGGCAAAGTGAGTCGCGATTTATGGTTTCCCGGGTTTCTTTTCTAATTTTTTGTGATCTTTTTCTACTTTTATTGGTATATTAAATTAAAAAGTCGTAGATCGTGCATATTTTGTTAAAATTCTAAGTGTTGTTTGTTGTTCCAGATTGGATATTTCCCGCTCAGCTATGTGGAGGAAATCAAAGAAGCGGAGACACAGTGATCATCGCCTTATTTTCTGGCCACTTTTTTGTACCTGTTTTTCACTTTTGTGATCTTTTGATCTGCGAGCGAATGGACGCTGAATTTTGCGGCAGGGAACGTCGTTTGACGAGTACGATTTGAATTTAAAGTATCCGCATGTGTGTGCGTCTTGAATATTTTTACCGTTTTTGATGATAAACAGTTTTTCTGTGGGTTTTTAAGTGCGAGGGTTCATTTTATAGTGTTTTTGTTTAAATTTCTGTTTTTTGAATATTTTATGATTTGTGCCGTTACTGGATATTGTGCTGACATGAATGATGGATGCCAAATTAAAATTGTATGTCTTTGGAGGCAGACAGTAAAAAAATACGGAATTTCTCCTCGAAATATATTTTGCAGATTTCGCACACACACCAAAACCGGAGTGTCAGTTGTTCTGCAGTAAATCGTTTCTCCTGACGTACTAGAGATGTTAAAATTTTCGAGTCAGACTGTGCATCGGTTTTATTGTGGACACAGTATTAGAATACCTCGAACGCGGCTGTATCCAAATTCCAAAACACCAGTGGAGGCGTATTACGTAAAATGGTAAAAATCGCAGAGTATTTGTTAATATCTTATGTGAATCGTCGAAATTCAACCATTAAAGTCTTCTGTTGAGTACTGTATCTCCGGTATCTTTGGTACGAAAAAAGCAGTGGTTTAACTGAACAAAAAATTGTTGTATACGAATCAATTTATGCCAGTTCATCAAGCACAGAAAAAGCGACATGACTGACTTACATGTAAGGTAAAGCTAACATACAGAGAGGTAAAGGTAAAGCTAACATACTCTGTAAATCCCAGCTAAAGATTGGTATACCGGTCATCTAACGATAACATCATCTCTTGTAGAGCGGTGCCTGTACAGCAAATCAGTGTAATAACAAACACATAAAACAAAGAAACTAAAAATAGAAACGAGGCGCAAGAAAAAGTACTGTAGAAAGATATTCCAGGCTGTTTGTTATTCCGTCAAAACAGTTTCTTCCTTACATAATGGTACAACACACAGCACAGATATTTAATGCTAAACTTGTGTTAACGTTCATTAGCAGCGCATTTTTTCATCATTTCCTCGTACAGGGCCTGCCAGTGAGCCATCTCCGCATTTGTTTACGGCAGATCATATTAATTTTTCTTATCACACTTAGAATGCCCACTACTTATTAATTAAATGGCCTGACGCTCTGTACGATTAAGCGTTGTCACTGTTGTGTACGAGATCCAACGACAGCTTGGTTCTGCATGATCGCCCAGAGCTTTGGGAGACTGTTGATCTTTTTAACCGGGTATTTCCGCTTTGACCGACGTGGCCCTGGGCCTCCATGGGTGTTCCAGAGTGCATCATGCATTCATAACGTGATTCGCTGAGATGTTTCTGCCATTTATAATTTACTGTTTTTTGTGCTTTTAGCAGTTTCATCAAGTTATTCCGTTTGAGCGGTAAATTAACTTGCCTGTTGAGCATCGCAGCTGGCCCGGCCCGACGAAGACACTACGCGAACACACGCCACTAGGTGAATTTATCGTAACAGCGATTTTATGCTACTTCAAACAACGATTGACAAACGAAATTTGCTGGTAATTATCCAGTTAAAAGGATTTCTTAACCTTTTCAGCTTATCCGCATCGCATGGTTATAACCGTCAATAACATAAATCAGAAAATATAAGCTCACAACTTCCGGGCAGTCGCAACCTACCGGTACGATATTTGTCATATATATACACACTTCTCTGTACAAGTGTTATTTCTACACAGCTAGATAAAGACAGCAAAGGGTCAGTAATGGAAAGTGTTAATTAGACTGCGAATGAACGAAATATCAATGTCGATGAGGTTAAGATCAACTGTGGTTCAGTCCCTGTAATGCCCATCCAACAGATGTAAGGCTAGTTTACTCAGCGTACCAACGTCCACCTTCCTCAAGTCCACTCCACCCCATTGTTGCGTCTGTGCTGGATCGCTGAACCTGGGAAATATAAGAGCGCAGTTCAGTTTTACGGAACTCGCTAATCAGTTAACATAGCGCACACTATACTCACAACTGAAGAAATCGGCGAATACCGTTCCATTCCTTGGGATAGAACAACGTTTTCGCCCAGCGCGCATATACTGCGGTGATTTTTTTCAGTACATGTTGACTAACAGGCGGGCAGTTGTCGTTAACGGCGGCTACAAATTGCCGACACTGTTCGGCGGCTGTTTCCATCCACCGGAAGCGTAGAGCGGGAATGATCACATCCAGATGCCCATCCCAATGACGGCGCGCGAATAGATCTTGTTTCTGCCATGGTATGCCACCATTCGTGTAGAACATGTTAAAGCAGGATTTGTCGCCGTTTCGACTAGACGCCGTGTAGTTGAGAAGCACCAACTGCTCGCACACACTCATTACCTGCATGAGCGTTTCGCACTCGAAGGTTTTCGCTTTAGCGTAATTCCAGCGCAGAGACAGGAACGAAGCGCCGACGTCCACACAATCATATCCGTTCTTGGCAATGAGCAGCGGCAGGCGAAGACCCTTAGAGGTCAAGATTTCTTTGATCAGCAGCAGTTTACTGATGAAGTCGTGTCGGTTTTCATAATGCCGTCCATTGTCCACCAGCGCCACCGAGCGCGTCTCCTTCGTAATATTCGCCACCAGCATGGACCCGAACTTATACGCGCTGAGGTAGTGAAATACAGCGGGGTGCAAAACCTCCTGCCACTTGCATCTGACGCAAGTCTGGCCGACATCGAAGATGATGTGCCGCTTGGCATTGTATTCCCGCAGAATGAGTCGCCAAAGTCCGCACACTCTGACACAAAGTAAAACTGATCAGTGTTATAGGATAAATTACGTGCTGTAACATTAAGGTCTTATGTCGAAGCCACTATGTATAAAAATAAAATCAACTGTACAGTACGGCCACGAGAAGGACCCAGCGGGACTGAGAGAGTGAAACTTACTGGCTCGCACAAAACTGATTACTCCAGTCCAGATTCAGCAGAACAAACGCTAGGATCGGCGACGGCAGGTCTCTGATTGACATATCTTCGGTATCTGAAAATAAGTGAAGTTACTGCGGTGACAGTCGCAGCAGTAACAGGATTGGTTACGTCAACTTACGTGGTACTTATTGCAATTTACCAGCAGCCTGTTCTAAGAAACCACGGACATTCTCCTCACTTACCATGTATACTAACGGCCATTCCAAACTCCTCCGCAAGACTGTTGTGTACACCACACGACAGTTGCATCTCGAGATACATTTGACAAGCGTTCTGCACGGCATCTGCGCTCCAGAACATCCATCGCCCGGCGGAGCCACCGTTATGAATTTCCACACATACAGCCGTAATTGTGTCAGCGGTCACTCGCACAAACGCCCGACAACCGATGTTCAACTGGAAGCTCCTCATCGTGCCACACCTGCACTGGAAATTGGATTTGTCAATTCCCGCCGCCATCTTCATTCTGCAAATATCTCCACAAAGCTCATCGCGCCAGCATTCGCGCCCTCGGATCTTCGCTCGGCAAGATCTAGCCAAAGCCACAGGCAGGAACTCCACATCCCGCAACAAGTGCGCTTTTTCGAATTTGACCACGTGTTTCTTGTACACAAAACCGTTTTTACGGGTGAATAGACTGCGGTCCTTCCCCGGCACTGGCAGACGTTTCAGGATTCGGGAGTAGTGCACGATGCAGAAGCTGTCTGGATTCTGCAGGTGTACCACGCAGAACATCCCGTACACTTTACTCGTCGTCACAGTCCCCGGTCGGAACACCATTGGACCGCCATCCTCCTCGCGCAGGCCCACCTGAACCGAGGAGCCTTCAAGGGAGGTCGGATTCATGCCGTTCAGAAAGCGGTGTGGCCAGAGATGGCGGGAATGAAATCCACTGGGCGCGGACGGTGCTGGCATCGAAGTCGATGAAGTAATGATCGGCGTCAATGTCCTGGACATAAGCCAGCCACCACTGACCATTGCGGCGGCGCACCAGTACCGTGTTACCGTAGTTGATTTCGCTGGAACCCGAGTACAGCTGGCGAAGATAAAGCGATGTTGCGTTCATGGTGTCCACGACCCAAACGCACGCGATGGAAGTATGCACTATGCAACGAGCACACAGTAGTCTGACAGTGACAACATTATTCAGGAACTGACAAGTGACAACTTTAATCAGAAATACTCAGAAAATAAACAACCACGATCTCAGGTCCTTTACTGGCTTTACAGTGTCAAAGAGCCCAACAGTGCCAACATAGAATAAACTTCGCTCCAAGACGTTCAGGTGTAAATTTGAGCGCAGGCTGTGCAGCTCGCAAGTCTGCGTGCTTCCTGGGCATGAGCATCTGTGCATGGGCAACTGAGCATGCTCTTTTTAATAATATTATGAGCAGCGAGCATGCATCCTGAGTCTTTCGAGTTTGAGTTTGCCTGGAGCCGCCCTGGACGTTCTGGAGCTCGGAATTATTAACATTTAATATCTGTCGTACTAATTTATGGTTGCATTAATGCAGTTGAGAATGCTGTAAAAATGGTGACTAGGGTATAATTATCATAAAAGTAATGCTTGTACAGTAACAGCTGACAATTCATAATTATAAAAGAAGGAAACCCGGCATGGCGAGTATGTTGTATCAGTATGAATCACGCCGGATATGTTTCGGCACAACGTTGTACTCTCCGGGCGGAGGACTGGAGCGCTACAGTGCATACGTTTGCTTTGGTTATACAAAGTAGCAGCAGTGCCTAAGTCCTTGAGTTTGAAATTAGTCCCCATTTATTCGTAAGATACGACTGTATTCTGATGCATATGTGGGATGAGAAAAGCGGTGTCTATTGGTTTTTGTAAATCTGGTAATTTCCCTTTAGTAATGTCAAAATCAAAGAACCGGAAACGCAGTTATCACCACCGCCTTTCTTCATTTGGTCAGTTTTCTTCACTTGTTTTTCGCATTTGGGATCTTATGGCCTGCGAGCGAATGGAAGCTGGATTTGTGGCAGAGGACATAATTTGGCAATTAGGATTTTTGAAAACTGAAGTATTTGCATGTTTGTGCTTGCGTTGGATATTTTTGCCGTGTTTAATTATGAGGCGATTGTTGTGCACTTTATATTGTTCTGGTTGTTTATGGTTGTATGCCGTTACTGGATATTTTACTGATATCGCTGTTGTGTTATTGCGAAAACAGTGCCCGTATCAGAATGATAAAAATGATAAGAATTACGTATCAGAATGATAAAAAAATGGTATAAAATTACAGTGAACTATCGAACTCCGAGTTTGTAAAGAATCTTTATGAGTTTCAAAAAGAAA